ATTTCCCTTGTTAGCCCTTCTCAAATCGGCTTAAGGCGGTTGAAGTGCCACTGTACGGTGTCATTTAGAATATGATTATGCATTTTATCCTGGGACCGGGATCGCAAGCAATTCTTTAGTTTGTTAGTAGCTCCGACAAAATGAATATGCGTTCCCGCTTTTCTCTGCGAGTTATAACCAGTCCATGGTCATGATAAATGATTCCTCGCTCTCATGGCTACACAGACAAAGATGCATCCGTATCTCTTCTTATTGAGACGAAGATCATTGCTATTCCTCCCAAGATAAACCCGGCTGCAAACATTTTCTAATTCTGTGAAAATCTAACAAATTTACGAGACATTTTACCATAATTAGGGTCATCTCGGATCAATACAAATCTGGCTGAGATTCATCAATAATATTGCGTCCTACCTTAATATTCACTCAGCTTGTCCGTCTGATCCGTGGCCTATGACCGGTTAAACTTTGCTCATTGTGTAATTAATTAGTACCATCTTTTTCTTGCATTGATCGATGTTATTTTGAGTCACACATAAGCACCAGCGTAAAACTTGTAAATTGAATTGTGAATTGTGTTAAAAACCGGTGCTGCTGAAACCGTGCTTTCTCTCTCGTGTTTTGCTAGACCTGAGAGCTCGATAGCCCACCGTGCTTCCTGGGTTTCTTCCAGGTAGCTTCCGCTCCCAAAACTGTCATTCGTTCACGGACTTAATGCTAGTCTGCAGTTCTCATGTTTCTGTGTGCTAGTAATGTTACTGTGTTATATCTTTTGTTCTTTGCACTTGTGGTGTTCACCTGTGATATAGTACTGTACGACATAATAGAAGGCTTTGGATATAAGCGGAGTAAAACATAACACCTCTCTACGGACCGTTCCTCCCAACATAAAATTGTTCGAAATAGTCTAACCTAAGCGAGTGGCAATGAGCTATTCATTTTATTTATAAGCACTGGTGCCATTAGCTGACACCCAAGCTTGCTCAATTTCCTACGACAGTGGACGTACGCTTAGCATCCAGGACGGGCTGAGCAACAACGCGTTCAATAATACTATCAGTTAGGCGTATCACGAGGTTTCCCAAGGAGGGACGGGATTGAAAACAAAGTCGAGCGTTAGTAGTGTAATGTGACCTGCAGCGGAAAGGTGTACGGAGAGCCAATTCCATTATACTGTAATAGACTGCTTCTGACGTAATAATCGAACTCTGAATATGACACCAAGGAACGACCATCCAAGGCAGCTGAAATCAATAGCACAACAGTTAGTTCCAACAGGCGATCACACAACCACGGTCGGTAGTAGTCACGGTTCACAAGAACGAACGCTTGGAGACTAATGTTTATTAGCGAATCTCGGAGGGCGGCGTCCCAACCGAGCGAAACACGGAAGCGATACACGGACACATGTGCGGTGCAGCAGGAAACACAAGAGGGAGAGATCAATGGGGGAGGGAGAGTCCGTTAAAACGCGCATCTGAAGTTCGGGGTCAAAGGGTACAAAAGGGTTCCAAATAGTGTAATTCTTCTGGTCCCGTCCATCGATTAGGTGCGGGACCTGGAATGGTACAAAAGAAGGCAAATATTAGAAAGCGCCAATTCAAAACCCTACGTTGCGGTTTCTGTCCTATTACACAGTCCCCCATCAACGAAGGCACTGTCCTCAGTGCACTACAAGGCCTCTGGGGTGCCCAAACCTCCTTCCGGGGGTACCTCCACGGTTTGTTCAACAATCGGTACGATCCCCGGGAGAACCGGTAGTAGGGTTGTTTTTGACGCGCTCGTCTCATTTGCCGGCGTCAGCTGGTTGTAGTGGACAGTGAGGGTTTCCCGTATGACACATGTCTGCGGTGAGATTATATATTCCACTTGGTACGGTCCATTCCAGGGGTAGTGGAACGCCGTTGCTTGTCCTGGTGGCGGTTTGGGTCGATGCAGCCACACATAGTCCCCGACTCGGTATGTTGGTCCCCGTGTGTTCGTGTTGTAGCTGCTCTTTTATCGTTTTTCAGCCAGCTCGAGTTGTTTGTGTGCTAGGCGGTGAGCGGAACATAAGTCGTTGAGAAGTTTACAATTGTATGTTACCAGGTCGACCGCATCCTTGGGGGCCAGGAGCGTCAGGACCTCCACCGGCAGACGTAATTCTCGGCCAAAGGTTAACTGAGCCGGTGTAAATCCTGTGGACGTGTGTCGTGTACCTCGGTACGCCAGCAGGCACCGTGGCAGCTCTTCTTCCTGTTTGTGGCTGTTCGACTGTTCGAAGAATGAGTGCAAGATCGTTTTGAGCGTCCGGTTCGTTCGATCCACCAGTCCATTATCTTGAGGGTGATACGGAGTGGTCCTCGTTTTTCGAATTCCGAGAAGGTTACACAATTCCCTCAGCAAGTGGCTCTCGAATGCAGACCCTTGATCCGAGTGAATTATGGCAGGTGTGCCGTATCGTGATATCCACTCATCAACAATGGCCGCGGTGATCGTATGCATTTCTTGATTGGGCATCGCGTTTGCCTCAAACCACTTGGCAAAGTAGTCTACCATCACCAGGATATAACGGTTTCCCCTATTAGTGGTAGGAAGTGGGCCTATTACGTCTACTCCAACCCGATGGTTAGGGCCTCCCACGGCTATCGGTTGCAAGGGTGCCATTGATGGTTTGTTTGGGCCCTTGTTCCTCGCACATACCTCACATTGACTGCAGAATCTAATGACGTCCTGTCAAAGTTCCAGCCACCGAAATCGCTGAACCATTGCGGCGTGCGTTCGGTACTGCCCTGGGTGCCCAAGTTGGTGATGGATTCTTTCTATTAGTTGCTGCACCTTGGCCCGCGCAACGACAATTCGCAGTAGATCGCCTTGTTCACGTATCTGTAGAACTCCGTTAATGATCTCCAGCTTCGCCCACTCTGACCATAAAGCACTTTGATCTTTAGGGCGGCCGTTCATCTCCCTACCGGACGGCTTGATCCCGTTGCTCAACTGTCGTTTGTAAAGGAAACAGATGTACGGATCATTGAGCTGGGCGTTCTTCCAGCCGACGAGTCGGTAAACACCGCATTAACCGGAACATATGGGGGAAACTTCGAGAGGGCGTCCGCGTTGGCATGACTCTTCCCGGCCCTGTAGATACAGCGGAAATCGTATTATTGTAATTTCTCCAACCACCGAGCCACCTGACCTTACGGATCTCGAAAATTGCGCAGCCATAACAGTGCCTGGTGGTCGGTCCTTACTCGAAACGGTCTCCCAAGAAGATACGGCCTTAAATGCTGTAGGAAATGCCCTAGGGACAGCCGCTCCTTCCGGGCGGTGCTGTATTTCCTTTCGGGTTTATCCAACCGGCGACTGGCAAGCCCAGTGACCCTCGCTTCCCCATCTGGTGACACTTGTGAAAGAACAGCCTCTATTGCCGAATCACAGGCGTCCGTGTCCAACACAAATTTCCCGGCTGCCGGCGATGTGTCTGGGAGGTCTAGTACTGGGGCGGTTGACAGGTTTCGTTTCAGTTGTTCGAACTCATCGCTACATTCCTTGGTAAACTGAAAAGGGCGTCATTTTTCGGTCAATCTGTGCAGTGGTGCGGCAATCTTCGCAAATTTTTTAACGAACCTCCGGTAATACGACGCGAGCCCCATAAAGCCACGGACTTCGCTGGCACTGGTTGGTGTTGGCCATTCAGTTATTAGGCGAGTCTTCTCCGGATCTGTGGCTACTCCCTGTAGAGACCGATTATGGCCCAGT